GTTTTTTAGGGCTTCATGGGTTTTAGGGCTTTAGGGTTTTGGGGTTGAGGGGGTTTAGGGTTTTTAGGGTTTAGGGTTTTAGGATTTAGGGTCTAAACTCTGTAAAGGCTGGTTAGATAGGTGAGTATTATAGGGCTTGTGAAGGGGGGCATGCTAGGATGTTAGACTATAGCTCATCTGAGGCTCCAACAACCCTCAACCCTACACCCTCAACCCTAAACCCTCAACCCTAAACCCTACACCCTAAACCCTGAAACCCTCAAAGGTGGTGGCGTCGGGTATTTTTGGCTGCAGATCTAGGGTCAAGGTTTCAGCTCAAAAATGGGACCCAGCCATCCCACATAGCTCAATAACTATAGGTAGGGTTGTAAGTTTGGGGTCTAGGGATTGGGGTTTAGGGTTCAGGGTTCAGGGCTACCCGCATCTAGGTTTCTCCACAGAAGGGTGGCCGGAACCCTAAACCCTAAACTTACAATGTCATTTTGAGGGTGTCCCTTGCAGATGTACCCTCTGCAAGCTTGTTAACAATACAGCCTACACAAACGATGCAGGGGTCATTGTCTGCCTTAAGCCCTAAACCCTAAATCCTACACCCTTAGCCCTAATCTGTGGTATGGGGTATGGGGATTGATTGCGCGTTAAGAAACTGCAGCATGAGCCTTTGTCACTATTTGTTAAGGCCGGGTCTGGCAGTAGATTCCTACATGGTTGAGGGTTTACGGACTGGTGTAGAGTTTAGGGTTTAAGGCTTAGGGCTAAGTAAGGCCTTACAGTAGGGTGTAGGGTTTAGGGCTTAAGGTTAGTGTGTAGGTCTTAGATTGTAGGGTCTAGAGTCTAGGGTTTTAGAGTGTCCCGAATAATGACAGCCGAATGTAGGATCATCATTTCTTTCAGGGAATAGTCGTCATTTTTCGGGGCTGGGACAAGGGAAGTGGATTCACAGCAGCAGTCATGATAATAGTAATGGCACAAGGTAGAACAGTAGAACTACAAAAGACAATAGTGAGCATAATAACAATACAGTCAGCAGAAATGGCAAAAAGAACCTTAAAGCCTCCACGTGTAGACCGTACCGCTCCTGAAGCTAGACCAGGTTACCAAAAGATCAGTTTAGGGTTTAGGGTTTAGGGTTTAGAAGGTTTTGGCCGTTTTGAGCTCCAGCGCCCATCTCAGCAAAATCGCTGTCGCGAACAGTGCGATGTCAGCTCACGGAGGAATCTGCGGCCCCTAGCTCTACAGCGTGAGGGATTGGGGTTTAAAGGTTTAGGGTTGCCTGGACCCCAAGAGTAGGTAAAATGATAGCACGCAACCCCTAAAAATCGCCTCAAATTTCATTATTCTACATACTTTAGGGGTCAGGTGTAGCTCTGACGCTTTGTTATAATTCGAGGCTGACACTTGGGCAGAGCTATCTTGCCTGGCGCGGAGAGAAAACCAGGCTCAATCTGGTGGTTTCAGGAATGTGGTTTAGGGCTTTGGGAGCTAGAGTCTAAAGTTCTTAAAGGGGGTTGTATGGGGGAGTATTATGGGGGTAATTGGGTGTATACTAGGATTGTAGACTATAATTAGGCCGTATACGTCTATAAAGGAATTCCGGAACGGATCCATGCCTTTAATCCTTTAACCCCTCATCCTCTGAACCCTAAACCTTATTAAGCACCAGTAAGCCCGAAGTTTGAAGGCTTACCAGGGCATGCCGAGCGAAGGGCAAGATTCGATGATTTTATGTTACAGCGTTTACCAAGAAACATAGAATCAGTGTCAAACACGAAAGAAACTGCACCCGAATCCCTAAACCTGTCAATTACAACATGTCTACTACAAAAGTGGTTGTTTTCTTGAAGCTACTCAGCTACTCGCGGTCTTCTTCAGTGAAGGCCAACAGCTGCCGCCTGGTATGCATGCATGCAATTCAATGTTTCCCCAAATCCTATTGCGTTTCCCCTAAACCCCTTCATCTATCAGATGTGATTTACAGGGTCTTATCACAGGGTTGGGATCGCCCAACTCCTCTTGCTGCTAGGCCGGCCCTAAACCCTGAGCCCTAAACCCGAAAAAATTACCCCGAACCCTAAATCCTAAACCCCGAACCCCAAATCCTAAAGCCTAAGCACAGGACCCTAAACCTTGCTTGGAGGGGTTTAAGTAGGGTTACTACATGGGTTATAGGGTCTATTAACCTACTTACTAAGTCCCCCTGACCCTCCAAGTAAACCCTAAATCCGAACCCTAAACCCTACACCCTAAACCCTAAAGATTGACCTATTAAATTACTTGCTAAGTCCCTCTGACCCTCCAAGTAAACCCTAAATCCGAACCCTAAACCCTAAACCCTAAGCCTTAACCTATGAAACTACTTACTAAGTCCCCCTGACCTTCCAAGTAAACACTAAATCCGAACCCTGAACCATAAACCCTAAACTCGAACCTATCAAACTGCTTACTAAGTCCCCCTGACCCTCCGAGTAAACCCTAAATCCGAACCCTCAACCCTAAACCCTAACCTATGAAACTGCTTACTAAGTCCCCCTGACCCTCCGAGTAAACCCTAAATCCGAACCCTAAACCCTAAACCCTAACCTATTAACCTACTTACTAAGTCCCCCTGACCTTCCATGTAAACCCTAAATCCGAACCCTAAACCCTAAACCCTAACCCCTGAAACTACTTACCAAGTCCCCCTGACCCTCCAAGTAAACCCCAAATCCGAACCCAAACCCTAAACCCTACACCCTAAACCCTAAACCCTAAACCCTAAATACTTAACCCTGACCTATGAAACTACTTACTAAGTCCCCCTGACCCTCCAAGTAAACCCTAAATCCGCACCCTAAACCCTGACCTGTTAAATTACTTACTAAGTCCCCCTAATCCGAACCCAAACCCTAAACCCTTAAACCCAAGGCCAATGGCCTTCACAACTGGAAGCAATCCCTCCACTTCCTTCAAGAAGCCGGGAGCCAGGCGAGATTCGGGCTCCTTGAGGGGTTAAAAGGGTTTTAGGGTCTACCTCTGACCCCAATTACCTACAGTTCTATGGGTTATACCTACTAATTAAGTATTTACTATTAACCTAACCTTTAGGTAATTGGGGTTGTAGGTAGGGTCCTGAGTTTAGGGTTTTTTTAGGGTTGAAGGCTTTGGGTTGAGGGTGTTGGGTTTTGGGTTCTGGGGTTTATGGATTAGGGGTTGGAGGTTTAGGGGTTGAAGGGTTGTGCCCTAAACCCTAAACCCTAAACCCTAAACCCTAAACCCTAATGTCACTCTACCGCTAAACCCTTGTATTTTTGAACCGTAAGTGGCTGCAGCGCACTCGGCTCAAAATTCGTGTCGCTCCCTCCCATTGCCGTCTTCCAGGTGCTTAGCATGAAAATGATCATACTGAATGATTCGTCTAGGGGCTTCAAGCTGATGGGTTTAAGGGTTCAAGGTTTGGCTTAGGATGTAGGGTTCAGAGGTTTGGGCGGAGTCGGGCGTGAAGGGATGGACACGGGGGGGGCTATATACTATAGAAGCAACTGCAGAGTCGAAGCCCTACACCCCAACTTCAGTCCCCCCAAACCCCAACTTCTTCAAACCCTAAAGCCCACAAAGTGAGCTTTAGTAGCCCCCCTAAACCCTGCCCCAGAGGGTCAGGTCCTTCAACCAAGTCAGAGACCTGAAGCCCTACCAGCCCTAAACCCTAAGGGTCCAAGGACCCAAATGGGTATTGGTCTAAATTCCCTACATTTCCCCCATTTTGGGAACAGTAATTTAGGGAAACTACCAAATAACAGGATTTTAGGGTCCAAACACTATAATGTTAATGGTATTTGGGCCCTAAACCCCTATTTTTTGGGCCCTTGGACCCTTGGGGTAAACCGACCCTAATATATGCTCTTCAACCTTGCTCCAAAGGGTCCAAAGTACCTATATGGTAGAAAGTATGGTTTCTATAGTAGTAATTTCCCTTATGGTTTGGGTAAGTATTCCCCATATGGGTACTTAGGACCCTTTGGGTGATAACCAAGGATGAAGTTCTTCAAGGCCGTGGCAACCGTCAGTTTCGGCCTTGCAGCGGCTCAAGGCGTCCGACTTCGGGTGTAGGGTTTAGGGGTTTAGGGGTTTAGGGGTTTAGGAGTTTAGGGGTTTAGGGTTTAGGGTTTAGGTGGTGAAAAACTGAATGGAAAATGACATGGAGACTAGGGGCTTTAGGGATCTATAGGGTTGGGTGTTTGGGGTCTACTTACTGGTCTCGGTAGTAGGGAATGGCAGAATGAAAGCTCCATTGGACACTGCTATTTTAGAGTGCGTTCAGCAGTGAATACAGGAACGGACCCTTACAGTATGTAGTGGTTACATAGAATCCTTCACCGTCGATCCTGTAACCCATATATGCTTCAATCCCTAAACCCCAAACCCTAAACCCTGAACCCCCAAACCCTAACCGCTAAACCCTAAGCCCCAAACCCTAAACCCTAAACCCCAAACCCTAAACCCTCATTTGCGTTCAGAGCTTAGAAGCAAGGCGGAAGCCGACGTTCCGAGCTGCTGCCTCGTGCTGAGGTCGAGACTGGGCATCATCTCGAGGGTTCAGGGCTTAAGGGTTTGGGGTT